CACTCTCTGAAGCCCTCGCCGGGCTTGTAGATTTTGGGCAACCAAGAGGTATTTGCTCTGTTATCAGAGTGAATGGTGAGATTCTTTGGGCCAATCTTGTGTGAGATTGTGGTTTTTTGAAGGAGTTTTTAATTGAAATTGTGTCTTTGAGGGAGAGTTGCAGGTGGCTGGTTGGTGTCCTCAGGCTTCCTTTTTGTTCTGGTTGGTGGCATAAGAAATGTGTCAGGTTTGAAACGCCTCGTTCTCTGTAAGGAGTCTGGGAAGGGAGAGCTGTGTGTTACTGGGCTGCTTTCACCCAGAAATCAAGGCAGTAGTGCCATTTCCTTTGTCAGATAGATGTAGAGTGCGGGCCACGAGCAGCCTGGTGTGAGCCCAGTGTAGGGAGGCAACTGGAGCTGGGGAATAGAAATCCGGAGGGACCTGGAGTCTGTTCTTGACTCCCATAGTGACTTGGTGCGTGACCCTCTTTGGTCAGTTGTTTTATCTGGAAGTTTTCCTTTCCTTGCTTTTTTTTTGGTAAGAATGCAGGGTGAGACTTGCTCACTTGTAAATTGTTTCAATTGTTTCAATTGTTTCAATTCGATGGACTCAATCCAAAGCCAAATGATGAGTGTTTAACCAGGTTGTGAAAACTTTTTGTCCGAGAGTCACTTTTGATTTTAGTTCTAGCTTTATTGAAAAACATTAAAGCTAATGCCCTTGTGTTGTGCTGAATGCCATTGATCCTGCATTTCATTACTTTGGTGCACCACAGCTCAGCCAGGCGGTGTCAGAGTAGTTGCTACCCTGCCTCAAATATAAGTAACTTGGTACCCAGCAGAATTTTAAAGCGAAATTGGCTGTGAGCTGATGGTATTCAAAATGTGTCCTGAAATTCTGGGTAAATTCTCTATCAGATGGCCTTTTAAAAGGAAGTGGAAGCATGTGAAGTTCCTGTGGCTGTAGGAAAGGTACTGAACAGTGTGTACAGTGAAGGTACACATGCAAATGTGAGGATGCAGTTTCTTTTTTCTGCAGGTATGAACATTTGCTTGTGAAATGGGTGCTGCTCTGAGGTGAGATCGATACCCTGCATGCAGTGGCTCTACCCTCTCACTGTGCAGGCTGATCCAGGAGTGGCATCCCAGGATGTTCCCTCATTTAATTCAAGAGGCTCTGCACACCGTGCTGGTGTTAAAGGTGGCAATTAGCATTTTGGGTGAACAGTGAATGAGGCCATTTATAACCAGTTACGCTGACATGAATCTCTCCCAACAAATTTGCATCGTTAAAACACCTTTGGAAAAATGTGTCATGTGTATAATTAAATACCTGTTTTGCCAACTCTTAATTTAATTAAGGCAAAGCAAAGATGGCAGCACAAATTAATTTAGCTGGAAATGGCTTTTCTCTCAGTAGGCTGAAGGAGGTTTTCTGGTGGCATTGCACCAGATGACCTCAGAAACAGGCGGGTGAACTGCAGGACTGACTGACACAGTTTTTCTGACAGTGATGGCCGTGACATCTCATGGCACTACATGTGTCATCTATCAGCTCACTTTTTTCTGCTTGTGAGAGCAAAGAGGGAGGCCAGCTAGAAGGGGTTTCTTTGAGAGGGCAGCGTAGCTACTTTTGAGCTCTACCCTGAGAGGTATTCAGTAGTAACTGTAGTAAATCCAGGTTCAGACAGGTGAATGAAAAGAAATTCGTATAACAGAAGATATTTCTATGTCTCCCCTTGGTTTTCTGTCTCTACCTTGATCTCTTTCACTCGGTCCCTACGTTTTCCCCCCTTAGATATGACTTTCCTGTAACCGCTCGTCCTCTTTAAATATTCATTCCCCTTTAACTTTCTTTAAAGACTTCCTTGTAGATGATCTTCTTTTGGTTTGACCTCTTTCCTAACCTTGTGATTCTTCCCCTCACCCCCCTGTGCCTTTTTCTGATCTTTTTCTTCCTGTCGCTTAATCTCTTTCCCTCTCCCTTTCCATCTTGCTTGGGATAAAACTGGAGCACAGGCTGTGTGAACTGTGCAAGTGCAGGTGAGTTGTCAGCCCGACACTGTAGGAAGCAGGGAATCTGGTGTTGCTTCCTGCACACCCATCTGAGCACCAGAAGAATTTAAAAAAAAAAAACCTTTCAATTTTCCAAACGTGCTGGTTTTCGCTTCAGCAGTTCTCATTTCAGCTTAAGTAAAAATAAATGGCTGTATGAATGAAGGAAGCTCTGTGCTCTACGGCGTGGAGTCCTGCTAGTCCTGCCACCTCTCTGCAGTTTCAGGATTGGCTTTTTCTGTGTGGTGTTTCCTTCAAGAGGGAAAACCAACCTTGTTTATCAGGCAGGATTCACTGGTGTTGGGTGGCTCTGGAGGTCGCAGGGTCCCGCACGAGGGACTGGGGAGAACTTGTGACCTGGCACTGCCCGGTGCTCCACTGAGGCTTCATGAGGTGACTGTTCTCCATACCCCATCAGATGAGATGAATGTGAATTTGAAGCTGATTTTGTCTGTCTTTGGTAGCCTGAACACTCCAGGCTTTCTGTTCAGCGCTGACCTTTAGCATCATCCAGCTTTTGCAGTTGGAGCCAGTGCTTTTAACAGGGCCTTTTGTGTTCACTTACTGAAAAACGGGGTCTGTTTCACAGGAAACTTGTTTACACCTGCCACAGTCGTCTTTGCTCTTCCTTTGCTGCTTTCACTGGAGCTGCAGTAGCTGAAACTGCAGAATGTCCTTTCATTCCCCGGCATCCTCGGCGTGGGACGTGACTGCCATAGAGCAGCTGGGATGAGGATGCAGCGTGTGACACCCACTGGGGAGTGTTAGCCAGATGTGGACACCTCCAGGGCACGGTACAAACGGGCTCTGGAAACACTGAAATGCAGTGGATTATTATTTCTACTTCATTTTTTCAGCTGTTCATTTCAGGGTTTTCAGAACAGCTCTCAGAGTCCTCCCTGCATGTAAAGATTCACTGAAGTGACTCCGTGACTGTAGGAGAGAGAGTCCCCTCTGTCACCATTAGCAGGAGGTCGACAGCACTCGCTCGGGGCTTGCCAGGTGAACGAGTGTCCTTGCTGGGCATTTTCAGACCACTAAAACCACGAGAGGCTTTTTGGGGATGCCCCACGCGTTCCCTGAGGCTCTGGGTTGGTGCTGCAGCACAGGAATGCGGGGAAGGCAGGCGAGGGGAGGTGCCAGGACGGAGGATTTGCACAGCTGCTGCTGCAAGCGCCGTGCTCAGCCTGCTCTCTGGTGGTGGCTGCCGTAGCAGAGATGACCTTTGATAAAACGTGAAGTGTTTGGTGTGATTTGGGTAGTTGTGGTTGCTCAGCTTCACCCAGTGGCAGTTCATAGCAGAGTCATCTCAGCTGCTCTTGCTTTTGTTCCTCCACCCCAGTGCAAGATTCACAGGTTAAAAAACAAGTCGCAGCAGCTTCAGGGAGAGAACTGCCAAAAAAGCCTGACAGGCTTCAAGAAGCGTTTGGACAACGCTCTCAGGCATATGGTGTGACCCTTGGGGTGCCCTGTGCAGGGCTCAGAGTTGGATTCCATGATCCTTGTGTGTCCTCTTCCAGCTCAGCATATTCCATGATTCTGTAAAGACTTTTTCTCCAGCGGCTCTTCCCGTAACTTCCAAGTTCTCCAGTGTCTGACATGGCTCTTTCCTTTCAGAGTGGGGTGACTGGTAGGAGAGCAGACAGAAGAGGCACCTGCTGGCACAAAACATGGAGGAAATAATTAATATCTTTGGGATCTACAGTCAGGTTTGGCTGAAGGCAGCCAGCAGGTTCCAAAACTCTTGCCAGGACTGTGAGAGAGAGAGGCACTCGCAGACCACTTGATGGTGATCTTTTCCTGGCTCAGCTGGGCTGGAACCTGCAGCTCCCAGGGCAGGCGGGAGGGCTCTGGCGACACGGAGATGGTCTTTACTGAGATCAGCAATGCGAGAAATGTTTTTGGAGAAGGTTACTGGGACCCTGTCCTGTCTGCTGTCATCACTCCAGTGAGAGAGCAGCCCCATTCCTGTTTCCTAAATAAACTGTCAGTGTGTGGATATGTCTTCCAGCAGTGTTGGGTTGCTGTATTTCTTATTGGGGTTTGTTTCAGCAGTACCTGAGGGATGTGACAGTTGTGCATGTGGATTCTTGGTGCTGGAGACACCTTGAGGACTGAAGTGCCTGGAGGATACAGAGTGCAGGTGTGACCATGTGCTGTTGGGTTCCTGAGGCTGTTTTATAAGACCTAGTCAGGCAGCTTTGAGACTTCAGAGCAAGCAGGAACTCTCTGTTTCAGTCCAGTTTCCATCCCTTTGGCAAAGGAGGTGGGATATAGTTTTAGCATTTTCTATACCTCTGTATTTCTTGTGGCTAGTAAAGTAATACTTTTGCCCCAAAACACAACATATGCTATGTCTTTGAATCCCAGCGTTTATCACTTTGATAGCAATTTAACAAGATTTGTGGCTCTTTCTTTCCCATGTGAATTGCTGTGGTCCAGTCAAGACGACTTTTAGTAGCAGCAACCACGTGGAAGTATTGTCTTCTCTCAATTAGAGATTAAGAGTTGGCAGTAAATGAGCCAGGGATTATAATTAAAAAACAGGGTAATTTTTTGTGCATGGAGGGACCAAGGAATAAAAATCCATGGTGTAATGTACCTGTCAATATTAGATGCAAATCAGAGAGCATGTGTCTTCTAGTGAAAGACATTTGGATTGTGTGTATTTTGCTGAGCATGGGAGCAGTTCCTCCTGTTCCATAGAAGCTGAGGGTTTTGTTCAGTTGGTACTGATGCTCTTTTAGAAAGCTTTTACCTCACTGATTCCTGAGGTCTGACATGGAAGAGAAAAGCTTCAATAGGCACCAGCTGCTCGAGGGCCTGTCTTTTCAGGGCATCGCTCGCTTTCCCCCATTCCCAATTAAACTGTGTGTTAAACTTAGCTTTTGTTTGAAGCGTTCCCGCCCTGTGGAGTTGAACGCAAAAGGAATGTGCTGGTCACCTTTCCTCTCTCTTTTGTCGCAGGGTCAGCATTCCTCAGGGGAGGACATGGAGATCTCTGACGACGAGACCAACCCAGCGCCCATCACCAGTGCGGAATGTGCCAAAACCATTGTGGTGAACTCCTCCGTCAGCAACACGGCCGTGATGGCCCCGTCGATCCCCCCGCTGCCACCACCGGGATTCCCTCCTCTTCCTCCCCCGCCTCCTCCCCAACCGGGCTTCCCGATGCCTCCACCGCTGCCTCCGCCACCTCCTCCCACCCACCCCGCGGTCACCGTGCCCCCGCCGCCGCTCCCGGCGCCTCCCGGGGTCCCCCCGCCACACATCCTGCCTCCGCTCCCTCCCTTCCATCCCGGCATGTTCCCTGTCATGCAGGTGGATATGATAAGTGTCCTGGGCAACCAGTGGGGCGGCATGCCGATGTCCTTCCAGATGCAAACTCAGATGCTGAGCCGCATGATGCAGGCACAGAACACGTACCAGTATCCCCCTTTCATGACGGGCCGGATGCAGTTTGTGAACCTCCCTCCCTACCGCCCTTTCTCCATGGGAGCCGCTCTCGCCCGTGGGCAGCAGTGGCCACCGCTGCCCAAGTTTGACCCCTCGGTTCCACCGCCGGGCTACGAGCCAAAGAAGGAGGATCCCCACAAAGCCACTGTGGACGGAGTCCTGCTGGTCATAGTGAAGGAACTAAAGGCTATCATGAAAAGGGACCTGAACCGCAAGATGGTTGAAGTGGTGGCGTTCCGGGCGTTTGATGACTGGTGGGACAAGAAGGAACGTCTGGCAAAGGTAGGCGTGTTCTCTGCTGGATCCTGAGCTGTTCTTAGTGCTTGTGGCCAGGGCGTGCATCAGCAGGGGTCTGCAACTGACTTTAAAAGAACCCACAACCCTAAATTGTTATGGTAACTAAAGCGGAAGGAAAAAACAAAGCCACGGAGTAGCTGTGCTGTGAGAAACCCCATTGCTGGAGGCTGCTGAAATTAAATGTTAGGCTCACATGTCCCCATCCCTCACCTGGCTCCATTCCTGCCTGTGGGGCTGGTCTGCGTGCTGGGGCAGGCAGCAGCACCAGACTCAGCCTGCAGGTATCTGGAAGGTGCTCAGTCACTACAGGCACCTGCCTGGGGACAGCTTAGCACCTGGGTATTGAACCTGGCTTATTTCCATGGTGTCACTCTGTATATGCAGGTGTTAAATGCTGCTTTGCCATCAGAACCAAGTTTAGCACGAAAAAACTAAAGTCAGTTGCAGGAGGAGTGTTTGAAACCACCAAGCTGCTGTTTTGTGTTCCACACTACGTGTGATGAGATCTGTGGGTATTTCCAGTTCTTCCACCTCCCCAGTGCATGTACATGGCAGCAATTAACTCAAAAGCTGAGCATTGGCCAAATACGTGAGGAGTTCCAGGGATTAGTTAAGAAAACAGCTTTGCATGAATCATCTGATCCTTTCTCACCCAATTTGAAGTGTACCTCAGCCAGGAAACAGCTCTGTGATCTAATGTGTGGTGAATTTGTCACTACCCATAAAAAAGTAACACTGCAGAAAGGTTCATGCAAGCCTCAAAATCACCGTTACAGTGAATTACTGTAAAAATAACAACAAACCGAGCCAGAGGCTGCAGATAGGTCTTGTGTCTCAGATGTTGGTTTTCAGAGCAGTATCTTCCCCACCTGCTTTTGTAAACCAGTTGCATGTTAACTCTGGGGCCTGGGAGAGCTCCTTGGCTTTCTGCAGGGTTGGTAATGCTGCTGCTTAACAGCTGTTTTATGACAGTGTAATTCGCTCTGGCTCAGAGCTGGCTGGTGTGACATGCAGCAAGAAATCCCATCCCTCTCCTGACTAATGCTCGGAGCTTTTCCCCCTGCCAGCCAGCGTGTGCTGACAGTTTTGGAGGAGGCCCCCAAGTTTCCAGGGCGATGAAGGAAACAGATCCAGTACATAGCTGCAAAAGCAGCAACTGAAAGACTCACAAAATTGTTCTAAACCAGACATCTGCAGTGAAGGAGTAGAAGCAAGTCAAGGCAGATCTTCAGGCTCTTTTACACCCCGAGCTATGGCTGGATTTGGCATGTTCCTCCCTCACCTGGAATTTGTAACCCACTTTGGGAAGGGAAGCTGGCAGTACCACAGCAACTCGCCACAGTCCTTGCCACAGGTTATGTCGGATGTGAGCAGTGTAATTGAAAATAGGAAACTGCTGCATGGAAAACCACGTGTGCTTTCTGTCCAGGAACAGAGATGCCAGAACCATTTCTGCCCCAGGGCGCTGCCTGGAAAGGCTTCTGCCAGACCACATGTTACTGTTGTGTGGAGAAAAACCTCTCAGGTTTCAGAGCCTCCTTTCTCTAGGACAGGGCACGTTGGTAGGGAAGGCAGCACATTCCGTGGACCTTGTCTGCCTGAGAGAGGGAAAGCTTGTCCCTGTTCCCAAATGAAGTGATGGGTTTGGGTTTGAAAGCCTGAGTCAAACGCATTAAGCAGAGTGCCAGGAATAACCAGTCATCCCTGGCCACGGAGTGCTGCCGCTTGGATTCTCCGCTTGGTATTCCCATTAGTCTTATCCCTTATTAGCGAGAGAGCTGAGCTCAGGCTGCCTCCTCAGTGATTACAGCCCACTCCAGCACACGAGCTCTGCTAGTGTGTAAGAGAAACCGACTTGTTAGGTGGTGTTGTGCCATGGGCTGATGCAAATGAGCGTTACCTCCAGTGCCCTTCCCTCAAGAAGACGTGGCAGAGCGTGATGTGCCACCAAGTGTGACACACTCCCGGCTCAGCCGCCTCTCCACAGCTTGCAGGGATCTGAATTCCTGCTCTTCCTTCCCACCTCGGCTCTGGTGAAGTGGGATTTGTTGAGGCTGTATGTCCAGTGACCAAATTTTGGAGACCCTTAGGTGTTTCACCCGAATGTTTTGATTTTCCCGTTCCCAGCACTGGAGCCTTCTGGCAGGTTTTGTGGACTGGGGCTGTGGTTGCTAAGGAAACACAGGGCTGTGTGTGATTTTTGACGCACTGTATTTTGCCTTACACTCAAAAGAAGGAAGGACTTCCCCACTGGAAGGTCTGGAGTTGCTTTCAGCTATGTGGGTTATGAAAGGAAGGTAGATAACACACTGTTGGGCTGACTTGCCTAAAGCCCACTGGAGTTGCTTGTAAGAGGTGTATGTGCAGCTCTGTTTCCTTTCAAGCGTGTGTGGCCATGGGGGGCGTCTTCAGATGCCCTCAAAGAAATGGGTGCCTGGGCAAGGCAGTGCTATTTCCCAAATTTTGACTGTATAAATGGTTTCTAGGGTTTGTGTCCTTCCCAGGAAACCTCCCCTCTCAAGTGTGCTCTCTCTGTTGCAGGCGTCTCTCACTCCAGTGAAGTCTGGAGGAGAAGTGGAGGAAAAGCCAAAGCCGAAGGATCGAATCGCATCCTGCCTTTTGGAGAACTGGAACAAAGGAGAAGGCCTGGGATACGAGGCGATCGGCTTGGGCATTGGGCTACGGGGGGCCATCCGGCTGCCATCCTTCAAGGTGAACACAGAGACCTGGCATCCTTATGCTGACATTCCCCAGAGGAGCCTTAGGAGGACAGGCCTGGCTGGGTTTGTGCCCCAAAGCTGTTCATTCTGCTCTGTGTTCACTCACGGGGTTGCTTCTGACATCCCCGTAACCCCCCAGCACCAGAGCAAGGACCCTCTGTCCCAGCCTTGCTTTTCATCTTCCACCTGTGAGAATTGTCCGTGGAGGATTTCCCTGCCCTACAAGGGAAATGGGACATTTGCCCGTGTTTGGGGCACAGCATTTCAGCGTGGTTGTGAAAATACCCTTATGCTTGTGGTGCTTTACACAGTTACTGTTTTGTTTGGAACGTGTGGCAGTTTGGCAGCTGAGTCTCACCTGAAGCTGGGTAAACTCTGTCTCCTGTGAGTTTGCAGACTGAGACTCACAAGCATAGAGTCACCTATTTTAAAGAGCATTTGCATAAAAATTCAAAGTATCTTAAAAAAGAAGTGTGGGGTGGGAGAGGGTAGAGGGCTTCCCTGAAATTAGGATTTTGAATGCACAGAAGGTGCTAGTAAAGATTTGGAATGAGAAGTTCTGAGGTCTTTATTTAGCATAAAACTTGCTTTGAGGTTCTTTAAGATGCCTTAGGCTTAGGCTCTCTTTCTGTTCTGCTACATCTCAGACACATGGATTTGTCAAGAGTTTTCTCTGTCATCCTCAAAGTACCTGGTGATGACATGCCCCATGCTGGTATCCAGAGTGTTTTGATGCAAATTGAAGGGGTAGAATTTCATTCACAGTGAAATTCTGTTTGCAAGCAAATAAAGGGATCAAGAGCTGGGAAGTGGCCCCTGGTTTGTGAGTGTAAGTGACCGTGGCAAAGCAAAGAAGTGGTAATTTGCTTAAGAAGTTGATTTCTGCTGTTTCTAAACTTTCAGAAATGCTAATTGTGTCCTTTGTTCAGGTGAAAAGAAAGGAACCACCTGAAGCTGCCTCAGCGGGAGATCAGAAGAGAATCCGGCCTTCTACTTCTGTCGATGATGAAGATGAAGGTTTGCAAAGCACATTTGTGTGAAACACAAGAGCAGATGCAAGCCACACACAGGCTGAATCCCTTTAAACTTCACAGCAGTGTCCTTGCTTACAGTTAGACACAGAGTCAGGGATCTGAGCCAAACTCTGCTCCTCACAAAGCTCTGGGAGCTGGGAGATGGCTCCTCTGGCTTCAGTTACCTTAAATTCATTGGCGGGAAATTTAAGACCCACGTTTTAAGAATAACTTGCAACCTATTTTATCTCTGCTGGGCCCCAGCAGAGGGAGCTCAGGTGGGTTCATGGACTGCTTTGGGGCATGTAACAATTTTTTCTGCATTTGATTTTAAAAGGAAACAAAATTTTTTTGCCAGAAAAACCTATTTGAAAATATCTTAACGCTATTTCCTATAACCAGGGAAGAGTAGAGAAAAGATAAAACTCTGAATACCCTTTGTTTTGCATAAAAGCACAGATTCAACTTAAAGTTGATTCAGACTAACAACTAGTTTTGAAACCAGAGTACAGAGGGAGGGTTTTGTAAAACGCTTAAAATAAAAAGGCATTAAATTCAGGTTACCTGTCCTGAGCTCAGTCATGCTGTGTCTCCTGGCTGCTCTGCCTAGAGCGTGTCAGCTTTGGCCACCCACATTTTGCCATCAGCACTCTGCACCCCTGCCCTGTGACATTAGCAAGTCCCTGTAAGCCTGGGGACCGTCACTTCCATCTTCCCAGAGAAAAAGTTTCCTTTGTGTAGTTAACTCTTTCCCTCCCTTGTGAGGTATTTGATGGCAATTTCAATCCTGTTCTTGCTCCTCAGAGTCGGAGAGGGACAGGGATGCTTCCGATGCCACATCTGACCTGTCAAAGAAGGATGGAGAAGCAGTGGGGCTGAGGCGGCGACCAGCAAGGCCATTGGAGCTCGACAGTGAGGGAGAAGAGGGAGATGAGACATCAGGGAAGGAAGAAGAGTCCTCCTCGGAGAAGGAAGAGGAGCAGGAAGAAGAGGGAGCCTTGGTGAAAGCAGCACCTGGCAAGGTGTGTTGGTTTGTGACTGCACTTTCCATGCTGTCCGATATTAAAAGGGGGCCTGGTAATGCCAGATGCCAAAATTCCCTTCCCTAGGAGATGAGAGCTCCTGTTGGGGTCTGTCCTCAGAGAGCCTCTGTAAAGGTTCATTCCCTCTTCAGGTTCTCTGATCAGCCTCCCTGGGAGCTTCTGGGGGCTACTACGGTGACAGCCAGGTCACAGGGTCAGGCACTGTTCATTTTTGGCAATGCTTTCTTGCAAAGGAGGAAGAGGAGGAGGAGGAGGATGAAGATGACGAGGATGAAGATGATGATGACGAGGATGAAGATGATGAGGAGGAGACAGGCATCGACACAAGTGACAAGGAGGAGGAGCAGGACTCCGAGGAGGGTGAGCAGTTCCAGTGCAAGCAGCAGGGTCAGCTGGGGTCTCCCTCCTGCACTTGTTCCTGCTCTGCAAGGTGGTAGTTTCTACTTTTTAAATCTGTGTGTAAAGGCAGCAGAAAATCTTAGTGAAAGGTACAATCCACGTGGGCAAGGTGCCAGGCAGCACTGCTCCTGGAACTGCCTGTTGTGTGGTCATTGCTGTAAGCATCCAAAGGCAGGATTTATAAATCTCTGCAAAAACAACCAAATGGAGAGGCCGCTCCTTCAAACCCACTCGCTGCTGTTGTTGCTGTTTCCATGTGGAAGGGATATTTGCCCCTGATTGTTTAGGGCAGAAAGCAGAGCTAATGGTAATTTGTTCTTGTAGATGTAGCAAGTCCGTCGTCTTCCAAGGCTGAAGTTGAATCATCCGATGAAAGTGAGGACTCCTCTGAATTCGAGTCAAGTTCAGACTCAGATGATGATGATGAGGATGATGATGACGATGAAGATGAGGAGGAGGAAGAGGAGGAAGAGATGGCTGAAGATCAAGACAGAGAAGCCATGGTTGCTGAGACAGAGCATGAACCTGCTGGTCCTGAGATTCCTGACGACCAGAGGGAGACTATTTTGGAGCTGTATGCAGTGGATGACTACATGGATGCAACAGGCTTGGGACTCGCCGAGCCAGTGTTGGCAGCGAAAGATGAAGGCCATGAAGAAATCAAGGCAGGGGAAAACGAATGTGGCCAAATCCCAGGGGCATCTCTTGCTGCTGAAACTCTGAAACACTTGGTTATGGAAAGAGACCAGGAGACAAAACTCGCTCTCTCTCCCATCTGTGGGCCAGGTATGCCCTTCCATGTGCCTTGGCACATTTTACCACATTTCCAAGTACATTTTGTCACAGTGTCCAATATGCATGGGTTTGTATTTCCATTCTTCTCTTCCTCTTGGCCCTAGGCTGGGATTATCCGTACAGGGAAAAAGGTCTGTGCTGAACTTTCCTTCCTAGTAAGGAGCTTTACCCAAGCCATCTGCTACTAAAAATACTGTGGTTACAGTATCCAGAATCTTATCCTGAGCCAGTTTAATGTCCTACAGGAATTGAACAGTTGTCATCGTCCGAGGGTGACGGATCGAGTGGTGGCTGAAGCTCAAGATAGAAAAGCCATGGCTGCTAAAACAGAACAGGAATCTGTGCTTCCTGTGTCGCTACTGGCTTTTTTTGGAGTTTAATATCAAAGTAGTCTGTGACTGGGAAGCCATGGGGCTGGTTTTGCACTAACCCTTTCCAGAACAGGTCAGTGTGCAGAAAGGACATAAATTTGGGAACACCTGCACTGGGGCACCTTGACATGTGGACTGAGCTTTCCAGGTAAGCTGTGGGAACGAGCTCAAACTGCCATATTCTTCTTGAGCAGCCCAGACCCTTCTGAGAAGGGCTCACTCTTCTCCAGCCACTCTCTGGTTCGTTCAGCACAAATGAGGAATTCTTCCCTTCCAGTTCTCCAGGCATTTTCACCTCCTTTTGCTCTCCCACTTGAAAATGTTATTTTGAGCTGCCTAACAAGATTCACCGTTGATTCCTTTTGGACTTGGCCCTAAGTGGGTAAATAAACTCCAGACAAATGAGTCTGCTGCAGGGAGAGCAGCATATAAATTGCCTCATTGATACCATCTGAGTGTCTCCTCATTCATTACAAGGGCTTCCCGTTTCCTTCATGTGTTGTTCAAGAGTGTTCAGCTCCTCCCTTCACCCCTCCCTCCTTGCAGAGCTGAGGGTGCTCCTTGGCCTTGCAATGAGTTTACCTTCCCACATTAGACGAGCTGATAGCTCGGGGCTCCGGGAGCTCTCCTCCAAAGTCCTCGCCCCACAATCCACTGATCCTTTTTTATGTCTGCACAAAAGGTTGTCAGGGATTTTGAAAGCAGAAAACCTTCGCTCTGGTCTGTGTTGTAGCTAATCCTCAAATTAATAGTGCGGGTTTTTTATGGTCCATTAGGATTGCCTGTGGTAGTGTCTAATTACTCCACACTCCGTGCCTCCAAAATGTAAAGCATTGGAGTTTTTAAGCCTCCCGGTGGAATTGAGCTGTTCTCTAATTGTGGCATCTTCAACGTGCCTTTACTGGCAAGTGGAGGCAAAGCTCTTGATTCTCCTCTCTTTTTCCCCTTTCAGAGGAAGAGTCCGAACCCACTTCCATGCTGGAGCCAGAGGTCCAGGAAGGTCCAAAGCCTGAATCTCCAGATGAGGAGGTGACGCTCTGTGTCTCCACTCCCGGGGAAGTCTTCGGAGAACCTCTGCCCAACAAAAGCAGCTTCTTTGGCAAATCTGATGACAGCAGCTCAGAAGCTCGAGCTAAACCAAAGCTGCCCTCGGCAGCGGAGGAGGACGAGCGGCTGCCCCGCACGCCGGGACGGGAGGTGATGATCCACTCGGAGAGTGACACTCTTCTGCTTCCAGCCCACAAGGTGCCATCTTCCATGCTTCCCTTGCCATCGACTCCCGGTAAGGAGGAATCTTTAGTCCCTCCAGAAAAGTTCCCTGAACAATTAATGGTGACCAAAACGTCTGTGGAAGAGGAGATTCCGAGGACTCCTGGGCGGGACATTTTGGCCAAGTCTTCGCACCCCCTTGCGAAGTCGCAGAGCACGGACACTGTTCCAGCCACGCCAGGAAGTGATGCTCCCCTTACAGGGAGCAGCTTGACCCTCAGTTCCCCTCAAGTCCCAGGGAGCCCCTTTTCCTACCCATCCCAATCTCCTGGCATTAACAGTGGCATTCCTCGGACTCCTGGGAGAGATTTCAATTTCACGCCCACTTTCCCAGAGGCTGGTGCTACCATTCCTTGCCTTCTGTCTGGCAAGAAACAGTCAGAGGATGAGCTGGACGAGAAACCCTTTAAAGAGCCTCTTGGTGCTTCCCTTACGATCAGCATGAACAGTGTTCCTTCCCCCATCCCCTTTGCCAGCCCCCCCCAAGCAGATTTCCACATGGACATGGGTTTGCCACCTGATGAGCCAATACCTGTAGCAGCCCTGCCCTGCATGCATGGAGATGGAAGAATGCCCCTTGAGGAATGCAAGGCAGAAGTAAAATCTGGTTTGCTCTCACCAGAAGTACCCCCTGGGGCTTCTATTCTTCCTCCCCCACCACCACCTTCTGTTCTTCCCAAAAGGAGGCCGGGTCGGCCAAGACGGTCACCACCCTCTGTCCTCTCCTTGGATGTGTACTCAGGCAAACCCATAGAACCTCCTCCCGTGCCAGTGGCCTTGGTGGAAGGTCCTGTGGGCAAGGAGCTGTTGAGTGGACATCCTGATGCTTACTATGGACTGAAAGACCCTGAAGCCGTCCCCCTGGACTTCAGGAATGACGGTTTCCATGAGAAAATAGCGGCTGAGACAGTTGCGGAGAAACTGCCATTTAAGGAACTGGAGAACCAGTGGAACGAAGACTTCAAGGAAGAAGAAGCTAAACCTAAAAGACAGTGGCGAAGGCAGAAGAAAACATCTGAGGACCTCCCGGTGATCCCTTCCCCCGAGTACTCCCCACCCCGGCCTCAGTTCCGGCCGCGCTCCGAGTTTGAGGAGATGACCATTCTGTACGACATTTGGAACGGGGGCATAGACGAGGAAGACATCAAATTCATGTGTATCACATACGACCGCCTGTTGCAGCAGGACAATGGCATGGACTGGCTCAATGACACCCTGTGGGTGTTCCATCCTTATATCCTTTCTCAGCGTCGCACAGCACGTGTGAGGTGCACGAGGTGGTCGCTGGGTAGGACTCCGAATGCAAAGGACTGAGTTTGTTGGTGGGAGAAACAGTTTGCTTACAGGAATAGCAAAGGGAATTTGGGGCTGTTTATTCTGTGAAACTGCAATGCAAAAGCAGTGCAGAAGTGGCTGTTCTTGCTGCACGTTCAGGCTGGGACTGCAGGGGCAGTCTGTAGGCACCTCTGCCGGGGAGGTTTCCTTCCCAGTTGGAGAAGCTTCTGTCTGCACATAACCAGACTTTTTTTCCAGCTTGGCAGTGGAATTTCTAGTCTGCACATACAGAGCTTTAACTTGGGGCTAAAACTTGTTGTAAAAATAATCTCCACCATCTGTGCCCGCTGTGCTGTATTAAGAGTGGTTCTAGCAGCTTTAACTTGCGCTGGGTTTGAAATACTGATAAAATCAGTGGTTTCTAAGTGGCTCATTAGGACCAGACACGTGTCCAGGATGGATGGGGACCGTGCTGCTGGTGCTGCAGTGAGGAGCACATGTTGCACCAGCTGGTGCTGGTGGGGAAGGTCTGGCCCCATCCCCTCCCTCCCTACCCCTGGTCTGGCAATCAGCAGCATGGACTGTATCTTTGAACCTTTGGGAGCATTTTTGGGACACACAGGCTGTGTCAGAACAAGACTCTGTGTGTGTGCAGCCACCAGGAGTGATCTCCAGAGCAGAGCCTAAAGGCTGTCCTAAAAACCTCAGAACTCTCCAGTACTGTTTTTAGGAAGTAAACAGATGTGTTTATGTGTTGGAGAAGACAAACACACCATCCCATGTGTTGCTAGAGATTGTGTGGAGTTCAAATTCCTCATCCCTTGTTCCCTGCAAGACGGGAAAGCAAAACCAAAGAAGCCTTAACCCCTTAAAATAGTCAGTGATAACTAACAAAACCCACAGTGAAAATACTTTAAACCTGTTTCCCCGTCGATAGGGATTATTGTAACAGCAAAATTACAGTCACTTTTTGAACCTTTTAAAAATCACCTGCAGGCAGTTGGTGGTTCATCCTGTGCCACGCTGTGTGATAGGTGTGAAAGTTCCTGCAGGTTCACCTGCTTTGCAGCAAACTCACACTCAGCACTCTGGTTTTGAGGCCATCACCTCTTGCTTTTTATGGTCGCTCTGCTTCAATTTTGTGCTGTTAAAGGATATGTTTTCCCTCACAGGGAGCATTTTTGGGTCAATCTCAGTCATTGTAGGCTTCATGGCTGTGTTTTTGGGGTGAGCTGGAAGTAGTTTTGCTCCATAGTCCTTCCAGAAGCCAAAGCCCTGAGGGTGCCTTCAAACCTGAATGTTTGAATCGTGTGCTGAGGGTTTTGCTGAGGAGCATCTCTTGCCCCTTTGTGCCGCTCCTGGCCCCGCTCAGAGGGGAATGTCACTGCTGTGGGGTCCATGTGGTGTCCTTAGGGCTTGGGGTGTCTGCAGGGAGTTCCTGGAGGTAGAACAGAAGCAAATCACTCAGACCAGAGCAAATGGTACATCCAACTGCTGCCTGGGTACGTGGTGGGTGCTGTGGAGAAATCCTTTCTCAAACAGGTTTCTCTTGACAGCTTAACCTTAAAAAGCTAAATTTTTCACTGTTTCTTTACTTTGGTTTCCCAAGGCACGTGACTAAGAAGAAAAGATGGTGTTTGGTTTTCCTGTGGGCACGTGGGCTCTGATGATGTGGGGTTTTTTAATTTTTCAGTAGTATTGTTATTTTTTGCAACCCCCCTCCAAACCCTTCCTAATTGTCCAAGCTCCCAGCATTAGCCTCATGTGACTGCAGCAATTTTAGTCTGATTTCCACCTCTGGCTGTATTCCTCCTTAACCCCTTCCCACCTACTAGCTTTTCTACCCCCAAGAAAAAGAAGCGGGACGATGGGATGCGGGAGCACGTGACGGGCTGTGCACGAAGTGAAGGCTATTACAAAATTGATAAGAAGGACAAACTTAAATACCTCAACAATAGCCGAGCTTTCGCAGAGGAGCCTCCAGCTGACACACAGGTGAGGAATCCTCTGCTCAGTGCTGGCTGTGAATGGGATTTGGGCTTTATCAAGTGGGTGCTTCCTGCCTTTTGGCAGGGAGGGGAGGGGAAGCTGTTGCTACGCCTGTGTCAAGCTGATCCCCCGGGAGCTGCGTGGGAGGTGGCAGTGTTTGATGTCACATGTGATGTGTTGTAGCACAAGGCATTGCTCACAGGGAGCCTGCAGGGTGTTTGGGTCAGCTTTGATCACCCATTTGTCCTCTCAGGGTATGAGCATCCCTGCCCAACCTCACGCTTCCACCCGGGCTGGTTCCGAGAGGCGATCAGAGCAACGCAGGCTCCTCTCCTCCTTCACTGGTAGCTGTGACAGTGACCTGCTCAAGTTCAACCAGCTCAAGGTAGGTCACCTCGTGCTGGAGATTTTGCACCTGGGGACATCCTTTCCCTTTCTGTGTTGTGGCTAATGCAGGGTTGGGTTTTTGGGGTGTTTCTTTCATGCAGTTCCGGAAGAAAAAACTAAAATTCTGTAAGAGCCACATTCACGACTGGGGCCTTTTTGCTATGGAGCCCATTGCAGCTGATGAGATGGTGATTGAATACGTGGGCCAGAACATCAGGCAGGTAAGCTGGACTGTGAGTGAAATGTGAGCAAAAACCATCCCTGGAAGAAGTGTATTCCATGGGGGGTTGGAGTTCTGCTGGAAGGTGTCAGCTCCTTGGGCTGCACAGAGACTGACGTATGGTTTGGAGGTACAAGGGTGGGACTTTCAACAGCCCATAAAAACTAAGCAGTCAGGAGAATCCTTCTTAAGAAGCCCACCCTGAGCTGTGTTTCCACTTAGGTCTGTGTTCTCTTGGGGTGACTGTGATCATATTAAATACCCGTTGCCTGGCACAAGCACAGCTCGGGTTGTGCTCACAGGTCACTTGCGTGGCGTGTCCTGACCCTGCCCTGGGGTTCCCTGCAGGTCATTGCTGACATGCGTGAGAAGCGCTACGAGGACGAGGGCATTGGCAGCAGTTACATGTTCAGGGTCGATCACGACACCATCATCGACGCCACGAAATGCGGAAACTTCGCCCGGTTCATCAATCACAGCTGCAACGTGAGTGTGGTGTTCCTGCCTGTGGCTGTGCCCTGGCACACGGATAAACCTGGGCAGTCCTTTGGCTGGGGGTCACAGGGTTGTGATTAAATGTTAATGAGCTGCAGCAGGTCAGAGCAGGGTCTAAAGAAGTGTAAAGAGATGAAACACAGAGACGGAGCACTGAGAGTCCTCCTGTCCCTGCTGGACGCTGAGGAAGCATCTCTAACAAGTATTTCCTTAAATCATACTGAATTTTACCACTGTTGTTCTGTGGGAACAATCTCCTTAGAGTGTCCACTTGGGAAAAATATTCCCTGCCTTGGCAGGCAGAGAAGCTGCTTTCCCCTCTCCTTTGTGCTGCAGTCTGCCCTGATTGCAGGGCACTGGGGTGCTCTTAACTTGTGACAGATTTGGTGGAGCATCATCCAGGCTCCTTTGCTCCACAGATGAGTGGAATGTGGATATTTTAGAGCAGCACAAGGAGGGCTGCTCTGTTGTCTGGCTCCATGCCTCCCTCTCCAGGCTTCCCCTGGAAGGGGAAGGCTCTGGAAGCATGGCTGAGGTTATCAAGGGGAAGGACTGCCTTGTTTTATTTTATCTTGGAATAACTGTGTGGAGGCTGGGAAGCTAAATCCTTACCTGTTCTGTCACTCTTGCAGCCAAATTGTTACGCTAAAGTGATCACAGTGGAGTCCCAAAAGAAGATCGTCATCTACTCCAAGCAGCACATCAATGTAAACGAGGAAATTACCTACGACTACAAGTTTCCCATTGAGGATGTAAAAATCCCATGTCTCTGTGGCTCTGAGAACTGCAGGGGAACCCTGAACTGATCTCAAGGTTTCTCGTCACACTTGCACCTTCGGCCATGTCAAAACTGTGGTAACCAGGTGTGGTTGCACTTTGCCAAAAAAAAAAAGGAGGAAAAAAAAAAAAAAAAAAAAAAAAAAAAAAAAAAAAAAAAAAAAAAAAAAAAAAAAAAAAAAAAAAAAAAAAAAAAAAAAAAAAAAAAAAAAAAAAAAAAAAAAAAAAAAAAAAAAAAAGGAAAAAAAAAATTTAAAAGCATAAAAAAAAAAAACTTAAAAAAAAAAAAAGAAAGGAAAAAGAGAAGAAGAAAACCAAGCAAGTTTCGCACTTCTGCCGGATCACGAGCGAAAGCAAAAAGCGCACACGCTTACGAGGACTGTTCATGTTTCAGGTGCTCTTTCCTTTTCAGATCCAACACGCACACAAAAAGGTGATAACCATTTTGTGGCATGGTCTATCCAAACACTAGCTTCTCTGTTCAGTCCCCACAGTAATGCTCCGTAATGGGATAATGGTACCTTTTTTTTTTTTAATTTTATTTGTTGTTATAAACCTTCATCTTTTCATAAATGCTGCTACCTTTTTCTCATCAGTTTTGTTGGTTGAAAAAGACATTCAACGTTTAAATGTGAAGCAGAGACTGAAAATGCCATATAGGGTTTGTTGGGAGCTTGATTGGCTGAAATTGCACAGATTTCTCAGAGTAAGCTGTAAATAAATGTAAGGTTGATGTTACAGAGCAAGCCAGAGGCTTGAGGGTGTGTGAATGAGCGTGTGAGTGTGCTTGGGGGTGTGTGTGTGTGTAGATGTGTCCACAATGAGACTAGAGGTGAACTGTCCTGCCTTTTTTGTTAGGGATGAGCCTGAACAAGTCCCCTCAGCCAGACCCCCCGGGGCAGAGTCAGGTCAGCACAGACCTCAACTCACAGCCCTGGGCTCGTCTCTCGTTTTCTATGCCATGCTGGTCTCTGGGGGATCCAAACCTCTGCACCCCTGCGTGGGAAACACTTGGGTACTGCAACCACAGTGAGAGCTGCAGTCAGGTGTGTAGCTGGAGCATCGTGGCACAGCATGTGGCCTTTGGGGATGCCCATTCCTTGGAGATGGGTTTGTCTTGCATGCAGAAGAGGCTGAGGCTGAGGTTAAGTGGAGAACTCAGCCGTAGAAATCCTGCCCTGCTTGTAAGCAAAGACTCTGGCCCACGTTTGGAACAGGATTTTCTCCCTGAGGATGGGAAACAGGCTGATGTGTGTGTCTCGTGTTCAGTTTTCTCCCTTTCATCTGCATTTCCCTGCCCTTTCCAGTGTTTTCCGAGGAGTATTTGCTCTGTCCTTGAATGTGGGAGATCCTGCTGTGATAGGAGCAAGCTGTGCTGTGCCGCTCTCCTCCCTCTGTTACTCAGTAACTTGGCCTGGGGGTGGTCCCATCCCTCCAGTAAGATCGTGGTAAAAGTGACCCTGAGAACAATCCTGTTCCTCCCCTTCCCCCCCATCTACAGCATGGAAATGAATGCTTCTCCAAATTTGGAAGGCATGTCTTGACTTGGTTTCTCGGTATATTTTGTCCTTGTAGATGTGCTGAGGTGAAGGTTGCGGTTCTTCAAGGGGTTCCATTTCAAAATGGGGCGAAACACCAAAGAAATAGTTCTTTGGATGTGATCTGGAAATGTTATGTGACCGTTCAGGTACAGACAGGATCAGTTTTCCAACTTGCATTGAATTTCTCCTGCTTTAAAAGTAGAGATTAGTCGTACTAAACCCTTTTTAATTGGCTTATAAGGGGAAGTTGCAATGTCATTATGAAATGGGAAGATTATCTGCATAACTAAACATCTCCCCACAGAACCAGTTGCACAGCTGTTTTCTTGTAGCCTTTCAAACCTCCATGAGCAGAGGTTACAACCTTGCAAAAGAGGTTCCTGGAAGTTTTTTCAGCTGTTCCATGGAATTGCCAGGCCTGCACTGCTGAGTGGAGCTTGTAATGTAGGTTAGACCTCTGCATCTGAATTCCTTCTTCAGATTAAAGGCCTGAAAGAGCAGGAACACACAGACTGCTCCAAACTGCCTTAATACCTCCTGTATTTCTGTCTGAGGGTGAGCAGATTGTTGCTGAGATTGGACAGTCCATAGTCTCATCTCTGCTTTTGGTTTGGTTTGGTTTTGTTCTTTCTCCCCCTTCTTTAGAAATTGGGTATTGGTGACCCAGAACCTAAAATTGTGAGAAGCACAACTAGTTTCTGTCACTGACTGTTGGTTGTAACTGCAGTGATGGCGTTTGGGAGTTAAACCAGCTGCTCGATTTAGTTTAGTTTCTGGGTTTTTTTAATAAGGTTCATCTTGTTGTGTTGAAGCTCCAGTTGGCATCTCTACAGCTTGGCCTTTGACTTTCAAAGCTTTGGAAATGCACAGAAGTTTCCTGTGTCTCAGAACTGAAGCTCCTGTGTGTGGCATTTTGGCCCCTGGCCTTGGTCTTCTCCCTCTCTGGTCCATCCAACCAGTGCAGTAACGGTGGATTTGTGGGGGTGAGGACACCCCAAATGGCCCAGCCCCAAGAACCTGGTGGCAGTTCTGTGTTTCCCAGCATATCTGAGTGCTCTGGATGGGATTAAACCCTTGCAGTTTGCCTTAACGTTTGGTGAGGAGGGCGGGGAGGAAGATCACAGTCACCTTCAGGACCTTCACGGTGTTTTCAGGAGCACCAAAGGGATTTGGGTGCCAAAGTCCTTGAGCACCTAAATCACTTGGGTATTTCTGAAACTGCCTGTAATCCCTCCCTTTTTAGGATCCTGGACAAATAATGTAAGTTTTTGTGAGAGCTGAGCTCCCAGTAGTTCCCCAGGCAGAAAAAGAGCTGTTGGATCCATAGCACTTCTGAAAAATCATGTTGGTCTGGTCTCAAAGCCAAACCCGAGGCTTCTCTTTTCTTCCCTGTAAATCTTGGCTTGCAAAGTCCTACCTGGGATATTTGTCTCGGACTGGGAAGCTGCCCCAACCCCAGAACAGATCATTTTATGGTGAGGGCCGCAAGTTTGGTGCAGTGGATTCCATGAGTGCTGCCGGTGCCTGTGGCTGCCCTGTCCCTGCGGAGTCTCCTTGGGTCAGGGGAGCCCTGCAGCCACAGATGTGGTTTGGGAAGGCACCCCTGGAGATGCCCCTAATCCCTGCAGGTCCTTTGGCTTGTACTGAGATGAAAGGAGGGCAGGAGGTGTGTGGTGCACACACAGCCTGGGTCACCCCCAGTGTGGTTCTCCCGTGCTCAGCAGGGGCACCCCATGGAAAACCAGCCAAGGACTAAAGGGAAACCTCACCAGCACATGCTGCTTTCAGAGAGCCTGGAGTGGTTTGGTTCACTGAAAGGCCCATCCCCAATTTATTGTCACTTAAACTGAAGCTTAAGACAATGATGAGAGAGAGAGAGAGAGAGACATCGCCTGTGCTCCCTGCAAAATTCCACCTCACTCGGAGAAATCACCCGGGAGAACAGTGCAAAATATTGGAAAAAGAGCTTAAACCTTTAGTTTCCCACCATGAAGCTGGTGTGAGTGCAGGGTGCAGGTGCCTCCACGTTGGCATCCGTAGGAAGTGCTGCCCAGCGCCTCAGTTGATCCGTGCAGGTCACACCCACCTGCAGTCCCAGGTTGGTCCCAGAGTTGGTCTGTGACTCTCAGGGGTCCAGGAGGGGAAGGGGCTCATCTTGCAGTTATTTATATTGTATAGAGCAGCTTATTTCTACAAGGAAAAGAAAAAAAAAACCAACATTTTTAAACTCCAACAAATTATACAGTAGTTTCAGTTCCGGTTTTTGTGACCTTTTTCAGGGATCATTTCAGTGCATTTCTGTATAAAATAAAAATTTAAGGAAAAAAAAAGGATTTTGAAGTAAAAAAAAAACCCGCATCCTCTGTACATAAGCAAACTCAAGAATCTTCTCTTCAAACACTGTTTCTTGTAGAAACATGTTGAAATTTTTTTGCTGATTTCTTTGTACTTCAAGAGCATGTAAATAGTTTATTAAAAGTGACTATTGTAATTTGGAGTTCTTTTTAAACAGATTCCAGCTCTAAATCATGTCGAGGTGGGGAGGAAGGAGGACTGAGTATAGCAAAGGAGCTGGTGGCATTTACAGCTTGTGTCAAGCTTTGTATAATGTAAATTCTGTATAAATATGAGGGTTTTTTGTCAAATAAATAGATGAAATTAGAAGCATTAAGAAACTGAAGTCAAAAAATTGCCAAGTCAAGGCTTCTTCTTTCCCCTGACCCCTCAGTCTGAAACCTAATGTGCAAAATCTATTTATTTCAAGCGAGGAAATGTGTACAGTCTAATAGACACCCTAAAATGTATTTAAGCAGGTTTGCAACTGGATTTTTTTTCAGTTTAATATTTGTTTTGTTTTTATGAGTTTCCTCCTTAATTGCCACTGTAGGATTTGTCCAAGTGAAAAGAAACACATCGAGACGGACACTCTAAAACAACGGGGCAGTTTTAAAAGTGGAAGAACACCCAGCTCCCAATCCTTGCAGTTTTCTGGTTGTTTTAATTCCCAGCATGGAAATCAAGGGCCTCCTTTAAAAGTAGGCAGGTCAAATGGTTTGCAATAAACGGAAAAAAAAAAATAAAACAACACAAACTTATTTTTTTTAAGTTTCTTTAAAAAACCCCAACGCAACAACAACTCTGCTTTGAAAATTTAGGATTTCTGCTTTTTCTTTCGTTAAGCAAATTTAAGAATTTAGGGATGTTTTGTGCATATAGAATCTGTCACCAGTATGTATCTTGTTTTGAAGAAAGTGTTTTTGTTGTGGATGTGTCATGCTGTATATATTTGTTCATATTTTTGTGAATTGAATACTATGTACCATTGTATTATAGTAACTTTTATAAAGCAAACCATAAATATACTGACTTTTCTTACAGAAAAATCATGTTGTGCTTAATATATAGCCAGGGCAAGCTTTTTGCTCCTAGACCTGTGTTGGGAACTGTCAGAGCTCAAGGAGGCAGATCCAGAACAGGAACAGTGAGAAGAACTGGTTTTCAGCAAAGTTTACTGAAAATACCAATTCTGGTGAGCAGGGAACGAACTTAAGCAACATTATACTGCATGAAAGAA